TGAGGTCACGTGGGCAGCCAGGCGCGTAATTAAAGGGGTGTCGTTAATAAAAGGGGATGTTTAATTAAGGGATGAGGTTTCGGGAGGTGTTGTAGGAGGAAAAAGGGGAGGAGGAGGTGGGAAAAAGGGGGAGAAAAGTTGTGGAAAAACAAGGGAGAAAAATGGAGGGGAAAAAAGGAGGAAAAATGGGGGGAAAAAAACAAGGGGGAAAAAACAAGGGGGAAAAAACAAGGGGGAAAAAACAAAGGAAAAAACAAGGGAGGAAAAAAACAAGGGAGGAAAAAAACAAGGGAGGAAAAAAACAAGGGAGGAAAAAAACAAGGGAGGAAAAAAACAAGGGAGGAAAAAAACAAGGGAGGAAAAAAACAAGGGAGGAAAAAAACAAGGGAGGAAAAAAACAAGGGAGGAAAAAAACAAGGGAGGAAAAAAACAAGGGAGGAAAAAAACAAGGGAGGAAAAAAACAAGGGAGGAAAAAAACAAGGGAGGAAAAAAACAAGGGAGGAAAAAAACAAGGGAGGAAAAAAACAAGGGAGGAAAAAAACAAGGGAGGAAAATGGAGTGGGGGGATAAAGAAGGGAGGAAAATGTGGGGAGAAATAAAACAAGAGAGGAAAGTAGGGAGAAAAAATAAAAGGAGTAAAATGGGAGAAAAAACCAAAGAAAAATGGGAAGGAAAATGGGGAAAAAACCACAATAATGGAGAAAAATGTAGGGGATAAAAAGAGAGAAAAATAGAAGGAAAAAACAAAAGGTGGAGAAAAAAGTATCTCAGTTGGAAAGCACCTACAACAATCATCAACTCAACTGCCTGAGAGCTTCAGGGCTGACCAAAAGTTAAAGCATGCTGTGATTATAATATTGTTATTAATTACCTTCCCTTTCCAGAGAAGGGCAAAGTTTCCTTCTCAGCTGTTTCACCCAAATCAGATTTTCCCAGCTCCCATCTCACCCGGCCCATTTTGGCAGCCAGGTAACCACAGCACCACATCTCCTCCAAGGACCACAGCAGTGGAGGGCTTTGTGATGAGGTCATTCATTTAAAGAAAAAGAAAGGAGCCCTTTTTCTGGGTTTTTCCACCCAGAAGTGGGGGCTTGGAGCACCAGGGCACAACGGTGATGAGAGAAGATTTTGGCTATAGGTGCCAGACAGAGAGTTCTGCTGCAGTGTGAGCTGCAGGGGGCTCTGCCACCCTTCCTGGGACACCCCCACCCCACTGGCCCAACACCAGCAGCCCCAGGCATCCATTAGAAACAGGAGATCTCAGCCCAAAGCTTCAGCAGTCACCCACTGAGGTGTGCAACAGGGCACCCCCCCAGCCTGGAGAAGGGTGGGTCACGGAGGGGGCTTTTCTTCCCTGCCTGGCACAGGCCTAAGGAGTTGGATCTTCTGCCTGAAATGGAAAGCAGCAGAATTATTTTATGCTTCTTCAACTGTCTCCTTTAATAGGAAGTGCTGCTTTACTCTACCTTGTGCTTCTGAAACAAACATTTGCCTTCCAAAAATATACAGTGTACACATACTCTGTAGCTATAGATACAAACATTTACAAAGAAACGAGCAGGCTGGAGTGGACTAGCTTGGAAAAAAAAAGATCTCACACCTTTCCTTTTGGCCCTCCTGGAGCACGGGCAGCTGGGCTCACTGTGCTGAGAACAGGAGAGGCTAGTGAAAAACACCACTGAGAAACACCACCCCCCAGAGATGACACGAAACGATGTGGATCTGAAACATTTCCACAGGCTGCAGAGGTTTGGAGTTTCTACAGCCTTTTCCCAGCCCCTCCTTTTGTCCCTGTGGGTCTGGAGGAGGATCTGCAGCCCACACCCAGAGGGGCTGCAGCCCTCCCCGCGGCCAGCGAAGGGCCCAGCCCTCGGGCGGGCGCTGCTCAGCTTCACACCAAGAGAGGAAAACACAGCTCCCAGGGTGTTTGGCTTCATTTTCTCAGAGTGAGGGGAGCTGGGGACACTCTAGAGGCCCGTTGCCTTAGCGGATAGGTCGGTATGGGAATGTCATTCCTGGTATGAAGGTTTGGACGGGGTGCGCCGGGAGCGCCGGGTGAGCCGGGAGCGCCGGGTAGCCCAGAGGAGGAGTATGGATGTGAGGGTAAAATCCTGGGGGCAGAGTGCCATGGGTCGGTTGCTGGACTGGACCTGAAATCACCAGCTGGAGCAGGCTGTGGAGAGAAAATCAAAGAGGTGTGAGGATTATTTAGAGGAGGCTTCTGCCGTGGCTACAAAGGGCTGGCTCTATGCACGGCTCACCACCAACACAGTGCTGCTGAGAGGCACCAGGACAGGGATTCACTCATGCTCCTAGCTTCCAGAAGACTCTTTTTGGTTTTCTTTCTCTTCCCACCCTTTTGTTTATTTAATCTTGGTTGATATTTGCAACGAAGCAAAGTGCAGCTCAGGGCCAGGTAAAACAAGGAGGGAGTTGGGGATAGGGAGACTCTGGGGCAGGTTCCACGCTGAATTTCATTTTCCCTTCCTGTGCATCTGTCCTAACACAGGCTGGGTGAGATCATCTACGTGGTGGGAGTCACTGAAGTCTCCTTCAGTCCAGCTTGCAAGGAAAGAAGTAGCCAGCACTATCACCTTTAACCTGGTGCCTAACTATGGGCAAACAACGACCAACTTCCAGAAAAAAAAAAATCTTGAGATTTTTGTCTCAGCATCCCTCAAGTGTGGGTCTGGGAATACACATCAAAATCAACACAGCTGGAGAAAGGTCTCTTACTTGTTATGTGGTAGCCTGGAGCACACAGTTCTCAGGTCATCTGAAAGAGGACAGAAGACACAACCATAAAGATGAAGCAGAAATTAGAGCAATTTTCCTCTCCTCCCTAGGAAGATGAGATTGCTGAAAAAGCTCCAGTTACCAACAGATCCAGAATCCCATTCTCAGGCCAAAAATTTCCATGGGAAAGAAAACGTTTATTCAGCTCACCAGTTATTACTTCAGCTTTCCACACCAGACACTTTATTGTGTGTTTGACACTGAACCTATGCTGGGAAATGCAGCTTCACTTCAAGGCAGACCAAGTAAGATTTGCAACACCAACACACCATCAAGAGGTAACTAAGATGGAGGAAACACCAACTATGACACTGAATACAGTGTTTAGGATGAGAAGGGCATCAGGTAAGAGCTTACACAATATCTGTTTTGTATTGGTTTGGGTTTTTTTAAAGAAAGGTTGGGGTTTTTTTTTTGCTGAGGTCCATCAAGTAGAAATTGCACCTTTTTTACCATCTCCAAACTTCTGCTAAAGCAGAATAGCAAAAAGTGGGGTATTTAACAACATACCCCATTGCTAGAGTCCTTCCAGGAACAGCTTGAGAATAAATTCCTGCTCTGTAGATACTCCCAAAACACAGAATAACTGGTATTTCAGCAACTCCTCATACAGGATTAACTTCCACTTCTTCTCAGAACGTATCAAGTGATCAGTTAGGAATAAACATGGCCAAAAGGAGCCAAACCCCTCTACATTTCTGCTTGTTATTACACCCAGATGTCCTTCATGGAAGATCAGAAAGGAGAACACTGAGATCTGCCCAGCAGCACTGGTTCAGCCAGGGCAAGAGAGGCTGCACCCTGGGGCTGGGGTCTGCACTGTCCTGACCGTTGGGGAGTTTTAAGCCTTCTGGTCACACTAAAAGTTGCCTGTTTTTAAGATAATATGTCAAGAAAACAGTCTTGCTGGCTGGCCCTGTGCTGTGCAGAGGCACTTCCCCTTTTCACCTCTGTGGGTCTTTTGGAAAGGACTGCTTTTGGTGACAGGAAAGACAAAGCCACGTCAGCTTCTTGACTCAGCTTAACTGAAATCCCACGTGCTGCAACGTGGTCTCATTACAGGAGAGCTGAAGGCCCACAAGTTCCAGATGAACAGTTTTTGTTTGCTTTTCCAAGTTCCCTGTCTAGCACACGCACTCCCTGGGTTTATCTGCTCCACGGGCTCTCCTCCAGGAGACAAGTTCAGAGACACACAACGAAGCAGAACTTTTTAAATAGCTACAAGCAATTCTGAGGGGGCAGATTTGTCCCAGTGCCAGACACCCAGACACAACCCCCTCGTGCACCCTGCCAGGTCAAGGTCAGTTCTTCAGCTCTGCAAAGGAACACAGCAGCCACCTCCACTGATCATTCCTCCTCTCTCACTCCCCACCCAGCTACTTTCCCTGAACTATTTCCTGCATTATCACTTCCTAAGAGCAGCAAAATGCCACTTCTGCTGTGAACACATGGATCTTTACCCTCCCCATGCCCAAACTCCCTCTCATGCCATCTGCAGGCTGGAGGACAAGAACACCCTGCCAGGGTCTCTGCCAACTTACCCCTAGTGCACAGCAGCGCTCCCGATGCCATGGCCACCTGCAAGGCCTGAGCCAGCCTGTCCAGAGCCAGTTCTATCTCTTTGGACGCATTGAGAGGGTTGAGTTCATCAGACAGTCTGTTGATTTCCTCCACGAGTGGCACCACGTGGTCGAAGGGCACCAGCCCCAGGCGCCCGTAGAGGTTCTTCTCCGTTAAATGCCCCTGAAGCATCATAAGCACCTGCAGGACACTGAGATGCAGTTTTGAGTACAGCTGGTGGCAATCTTTGTCTTCTTCAGAAGTCGAGTCCTTGGGGATTTTGCTGGGGGGGTGGCCATTTGAGAGGGAGGCTTTCTTCTTCCTTTTGTAAGCCAAGGGAGCCTTCACACACCAGCGGATGAGTCCGGTGAGCGGGGTGAGCTCGAGATACCCTATGGGCAGGTTGGCTGCAATAGGAGTGTTCAGGAAGGTGATGAGGATCAAACGAGGGTCTTCAAAGATCCAGGAAACAATCAGCTCCAGCAGCTCCGTAGGAGGGATCAGGTCATCTGAAGATAGGAAAGGTATTGTTGGTAAGATGAAGGATTAGTTAATCTTTAATTAGCCTCTCACACGCACCCTTCTTGCACAGTCACAACTGCAGTTTCAGAGCATCCCCAGCCCTGCTGTGTTTTTTTCAAAGGTAGATCCTCAGTTATGCCAGGGAATATGCAACCACATTCCTCTAAACTTCACCTATTCCAAAGACACCACCAAATGCCAGCATTTATCCCCTTTCCCAGCAAAGCTTCTTTGGGCATTTTCTTCTCTCCCACCCATCATCTGCTCACTTCTCCACATGGAGTCTTCACTTATCCCTTGCTACAGGAAGTACAATGGGCAAGGGAACAGGAAAAACTTGTTGGTCCTTCTTTCTCTTCACCCCAAGATTCATTTCCTTTAAGGCTTACCCAAACAAGGATGTCTGGTGGAAAAACTGAACACAACAACAGGCTCACGTGACAGGTAGAGGATGATAAGATTACATAAAGCTCTGAGTAAGATGTGAAAGGTGGTCACAAACTGCTGCAGCTTGACTACAGATCAGAGCAACACTGACTTCACAAATTCCTCCTGGTAACTCATGACATTTCCTTTCAGACATGTCTTTTAATTAGTTCTTGATGAAAATAATGAATTCTTTTAAATTCACCCACTTGGATGAACTTCCAAGTGGTTGCACAAACCAGGTATAAAATACTGTGGAAGAATATGCTATGAGCTCCAGCAAATACTTTTCTCTATTTACTCTACCATTGTTTTGTGTACCTGTCACTCATGCCAAGCTGCTTACCTGGAGAAGGCCATGCAAAACACTTCCTTTATGGATAACAAATAGTATTTGCTTTCTGGATTATGTGTGATGTTGGTGTTTGATGTATGGTTGTTCCCTAGTCTACCACAAGTTCTCTCTTCCTCACTGAGTAAAGGTATATCAACTTTGTTTTAGACATCTACATGTTCCTAGTGTCTGAGGAATAACTTCCCTAGCCAGGCCACATCCCCAGCTGGACAGCCAGTTAAGGACCACACTGGAGGCACTCTGCTGATTTTCTCTCTCATCACTGCCCCACAGAAATCCTGCTCCAGCTTGCAAACACTCAGAATTTGTGTTTCTTCTCTTTTTGGATAGAATCATACTGACAGACAGCCCTGAGTCTATCTACTGGGTAGGTGACACACAGCAGTGAGGTCCAACTGCCCAGCCCAAGCAGCTCAGCTTCCACACCCAGAGCTGCTCAACCACTAATGCCCTTGCATCCTCTGCCCTCTGGGGAGAACTCTTTGTGCCAGGCATCACCTGGCTGCTTCTGCAGCAAAGCCTCTCCCTTCAGCCACAGAGTGGTTATTTTTAGTCTCCCCCAAGGGACAGATGAGGCACCAGCTGCACCCCTGAGCTGCTCCTGGCCAGAACCCCACGGCAACGAGCGCGGGTAGAACGGCGGCAGCTGATCTGTGCTGCACTTCACTGCACCTCTGTGACAGAGCCAGCCTGGCAACCCTCACCTGAGGAGAGGTCGTAGAGGGCAGTGACGGCGGTGATGAACTGGCAGCAGAAGCGAGGGCTGGCACTGAAGATCTGCTTCAGTGTCTGGATGGAGCCTGGCACCAAGTTGCAGTAGTCATCGACCAGAGCCCGGGCCAGCCTCACGCAGAACACGGCGGGGGTGCGCTGCAGGGACACCACAAAAGGGGATTAAACCAGGCCCTGGGGGGTGCCACACAGCTGACTCCCAAGGCTGTGCTGCCTAAACCTGGTCCCTGCCCCCACGGCACTCTGCTGCTTCAACATCTGTGCCCCCACTTTCCCCAAATCCCAGTGTGCCTCCTCTCTCCCTCTGCACATCAAAGCCGCACTCGGGCAGAAATAAAACTGCTGTTTCCCAGTATTAAGCTAGATGGTGACAGTTCATGGTTACAACACCCAGAGTTTAAAATGAAAACCTTTTACATCACTATTTTGACCTGAGTGGAGATTTTCTTACTACTTCAGCAATATAGTTCAAGTTTAAGCTACAGGTGTTGTAAACATTGACAGATGTGAGTCCCAGCCCCAGGGATTTCAGGCACGGCTTCAAGAGTTTTGTCTCTTCTGCCACGCCCAAACTTGCACACAGGGGACAGTTTCTTGTCCCTTTCTTATTTCTCAAACTCCAAAGCTGACTTCTTTGGGCAACACGTCCCTGAACTGCCCTGGCTTTGTTCCCTGTGTTGGTCAAGGCTCCACCAATCTCCTTCAGCTTGTTGGGGTTGGGGGGGGAAAAAATGAAATAAAAATCAATAACACTTAAAAAAACAAAACAAAACAAAAACCAACCAACCAACAAACAAACAAACAAAAAAAACCACAAAAAACCCAACTGATTTTCTTCTGCTGGTGCAGCACAAACATCTGGGAAGAGCTCTCCCTTGAGCTGGAGCAGAGGGACAGACACAGGCACAGAGGTGGGGTGGTGCAGCTGCAGCAGCTGCCTGTCACCAACCATCAGGGGACACTCTGCCCCAGTTCAGCCATGCCCATGGTGCCAGGCTGGCTCCCTCAGGCCTCCCCTGCCTGCACAGAGGCTGTACCTGCAGCCAGAAGGCAGCACACTCCAGAACAGGAACCCTGCACACAGCCACGGCCATGGAAACCAGCTTTCCCAGCAGAGCCATCCTGCTGTCATCTGCCTTGTTCCCCTGGGGGCTGAAGAGAGAGGAGAAGATGATCTGCCGGACTGAATCCTTGGTCTGCTCTTGGAAATAATTGCACATGATCTCCAGGAGCTGAAGTTCCTGAAGCGAATTCAGTCTCTGAAAGAAAACAAAAGCAAAGCTGAAAAATACACTGGGGCTCCTGAAGAGCCAAGAGCTGCTTAGGGGAAAAGCCAGGAAGGGTGAAAAGGCTGAGAGCTTCCCTCAGGTGTCAGAAACTCAGCACACACGTTCAGGCTTCCTGAGCTACCACTGCATTTACCCAGCTACACCAAAAAGCTCTAAGTTGCATTTCACTGCCCCAATACTCAAGACTGGTGCTTGCTGCACCCCTAAGTGCTGCCCACAAACAGAGAGATGAGCCTGATAGCAGTACTGGGGTGAAAAATATTGCCTCCCTCTGCACATAACAGCACTAAGGGCACTGCTGGGCAACTGGGGGGTCACAGGTGGGCCTGGCACACCCCTGAGCCACAGGCACCCTGACATTCACCAGCAGCTCTGGTTCCTGGTCACTGCTCTCTGGGAGGCTCTGATCCAGCTCCATCCCACATCCAGCCACCTAAAAATACTGGTAGGGCCCAGCCACAGCACTGTGAGGCTGTGGGCAGTCCCCAGAGACCTTGAGGCCCACCACACCTCCCTGGTGTCTTCTCTGACCTTCCAGAGGCCTGGCCAGTTCATCATAGACCTTGCCCTCCAGCAGCAGCTCCTCCAGGGACCCCATCCTGTCCTTCTCGGGCATCAGCTTTCAGCTCAATCACCAGCACCAGCGACTCCATCTTGTCCTCTTGAGACCTTGGTCTGCAGCAACAACCCCCCAAGGACCTCATCCTGTCTTTCTAAGGCCTCATTCTCCAGCGGCAGCCCCCAGGAACCTCATCTTGTTCTCCTTAAGGCTTTGTTCTCCAGCAGCAGTGCCCCAAGGACCTCACTCTGTTTCCTGAGGCCTCAATCTCCAGCAGCAGCACCCCAGGAATCCTGCCCTCAGTTCTTGGGGCCGCAGCCCCCAACAGCAGCCCCTTCAGGGATCCTGCCCTCAGCCTTTGGGTCCTAGGCCTCCAAGGCCACTCCCTGGGACTACGTCCGGCCTCCCACGGCGCTGCCTGGCCTTAGGTCGGCAACCCCCAGGGCCTACCCTGCTTCCCCGGGGCCTGTCCCTTCACCAGCCCCCCCCGGGGCCCCC